CTTTTTTGGCCAAAAAAGAACCGTTTTTGGGAGGTCTATAGAGTGAAAAAAAAATTTTTTTTAATTTGCTTCTTCAAAATCTTGGTACGTCTTACACTCTGAAAAATACGGTAATGACTCAATAGATTGTAGTTGGTACTACAGTTTCGTGAGGGTTTTTTTGGCTTCTCCATCTGTGCCCTTCTGGACTTTATGACCCTACTGTTGTGTTTTGAGAATTGTAATCTGAACACATCTGAAAAGTATCATTTTAGAAAATTTAGTTCAGAATCACAAACTACGCATTGAATTGTTTCAGGCTGATTCCACTCATGGATCCAAATATGTAAGGATCTCTTTGGATGTCTACCAATGGGGGAAGTGTAAGTGAAAGAAGTCATCGGAAGAAACTTAAGATATGGTTCCATCAATTAATGAAGATTTAAAAGCTGCTGAAATATTATCAGCAACTTTGGAATAATAAACATCTTAGTTTGTGCATAATAACTTGGAGTAGAGCCATCCATAAAAAGTTACCGACAAGCTACAAAACAAGCCACAGAAAGAGTAGCTGGGCCTTTTAAGAGGGGGATAATATGATTGTTTCAGAAGCCATCCTTAGAAGAGATTGATTTAGAAGCCATCCTGGTATTGCATTATCAGTGTGATTAAAGGTGATAGGTTAATATCTAAAACATAACACTGAGGGTCAAATTGATCTTCCCTGTTTACATCGAGTTTTCTTTTAGTGCAATCACTGGTCTTTTGAATGCCCCCAACAAGCTCCTGAGGTATTCAAGTGACTTAGCTGTCATTTCCACTACATTCATTTTGCTTGCAGGAATGTTCTAGATGGGCTCGTTTTTCATGCTGGGTTTGCTCCTAAGGTGCAGTATAATAAAAAGGCAAACCTGAAATTGCAATGAGCTTAAACATAAGTATATATGTTTATTCCCTTTGTGCCTTGCCTTTGTAAGAGAAAGGAGGATAAGTTTGAAGCAATGGCATTTCAGTATAATCTTTAATTGTATTACACTTGCATATATATGGCTTTAAAAACAGCTATTTGACTTGCCAAACCAGTAGATGCAATGGCTATTTTAGAAAGCTGAAACAATCCTCATTAGGAAAGCTCAGAGCTCCAGCTTTCCAGTATGGATTTCAAATTAGTAGCAGTTAAGCAAGAGTTCTTTCCTGACTTTCAGGAAGTACGGTAGTAATTCAGAAGAGCATCACAAAAATGGTCTTCATTTCTCAAGAAAAAAGTTCATACTGTTTTATAGAAAATTGGGGGGGAAATGATAAGCATATTAAAAGTTATGTCATCTCTTCACAGCTTGGTCCATAAGTGCTTTAGTATTAATACTTCATTTACAGAAATAGTAAGGAACATGTAGCTTCAGCTCATTTGTTTGCAATTCTTGAAGCCAACTTAAAACATGAATCCTGAAAATTAGAAGCACCGTTGCTTGCCATTTGAATGTGGAAGTTGTGTATTCTTAAGGGTGGCTTCGGGGGGTGGATCTGCCGCCGTCGGGAGCTCAACAAAGCTCCTGCCAGGACTCTGGTT